ATCATTACACTAAACTCCACTGTAGAAGCTTATCAAAAGCCAATGATATGACAATAACATATCCTATCTCTATACCCGAAACAAAACAATGAATTGCTGATGCTGAAGATCTGAAAGAAAAGTAGAAATTGCCACAGAATCACTGGCATCGATACCAAGAAGTGATATAAGGTCAGAAGGTGTAGTATCCGTGTAGGTAGAGTTGAGGAACCGCAAAGGGAAAATGACCCTGATGGGAGTTGTGTACAGACGCCTAGCAGCAGTCAGATGTGGGGAAGAAACTAAATCAGGAGATAGCAAAGGCATATATAACGGATATAACAGAATCACAATTGAATAAAGAGATAGTAGGAACTGCAGATGCTGGAGAATCCGAGACAACAAGGTGCAGGGCTGGATGAACACAGCAGGCCAAGCAGCATCATAGGAGCAGAGAGGCTGACGTTTCGGGCCTAGACCCTTCATCAGAAAAGGGGGACGGGAAGGGGGTTTTGAAATAAATAGGGAGAGAGTGGGAGGCGGATAGAAGAGGGATAGAAGAGAGGACAGGTGGAGAGGAAACAAACAGGTCGAAGAGGCGGGGATGGAGCCAGTAAAGGTGAGTGTAGGTAGGGAGTTAGGAAGGGGATAGGTCAGTCCAGGGAGGACGGACAGGTCAAGGGGGCGGGATGAGGTTGGTCGGTGGGAGATGGAGGTGCGGCTTGAGATGGGAGGAGGGGATAGGTGGGAGGAAGAACAGGTTAGGGAGGCAGGGACGAGCTGGACTGGTTGAATAAAGGTAACTATGAAGACGAGGGAGGAGCTGGCCTGAGTTGACTGGAAGGGCAGCTGCGCAGGGAAGACAGTGAAGCAGCAATGGCAGGAGTTTCTGGGGGAGATTCAGGAGGCACAGTAGAAGTTCATTACAAGGAAGAAACAACATACTGGGAAGCCTATCTAGGTAGTGTCTCCCACCCATCCTCCTCCTCTAACCAAAACAAAAGGTTCTGAGTGCTGATTTGGTAAGGCTACTAGTTTTCTTTTTTATTTGTCTGTTTGGGAATTCAGAACAGTGGGAATGGATGTTAGGGCAGTTGTATGCTCCTCCTGTAGAATGTGGGAGGTAAGGGTCACCACTAGTGTCCCCACTGACTTCATCTGCGGGAAGTGCACCCAACTCCAGCTCCTCGGAAACCATGTTAGGGAACTGGAGCTGGAGCTGGATGAACTTCGGATCATTCGGGAGGCTGAGGGGGTAATTGAGAGGAGTTACGGGGAGGTAGTCACACCTCAGGTACAGGAAAAAAGTACATGGGTTACAGTCAGGGGACGGAAAGGGAACAGGCAGACAGTGCAGGGATCCCCTGTGGCCATTCCCCTCAAAAACAAGTATACCGTTTTGGATACTGTTGGGGGGGGGGGGGGGACTTACCAGGGGTAAGCCATGGGGTACGGGTCTCTGGCACAGAGTCTGTCCCTGTTGCTCAGAAGGGAAGGGGGGAGAGGAGGAGAGCATTAGTCATTGGGGACTCCATAGTTAGGGGGACAGATAGGAGATTCTGTGGGAACAAGAGAGACTTGCGGTTGGTGTGTTGCCTCCCAGGTGCCAGGGTCCGTGATGTCTCGGATCGTGTTTTCGGAATCCTTAAGGGGGAGGGGGAGCAGCCCCAAGTCGTGGTCCACATAGGCACCAACGACATAGGTAGGAAAAGGGATGGGGACGTAAGGCAGAAATTCAAGGAGCTAGGGTGGAAGCTTAGAGCTAGAACAAACAGAGTTGTTATCTCTGGTTTGTTACCCGTGCCACGTGCGAGCGAGGCGAGGAATAGGGAGAGAGAGCAGTTGAACACGTGGCTACAGGGATGGTGCAGGAGGGAGAGATTCAGATACCTGGATAATTGGGGCTCATTCTGGGGTAGGTGGGACCTCTACAAACGGGATGGTCTACACCTGAACCAGAGGGGTACCAATATCCTGGGGGGGGAAATTTGCTAATGCTCTTCGGGAGGGTTTAAACTAATTCAACAGGGGGGTGGGAACCTGAATTGTAGCTCCCGTGTACAGGAGGTTGAGAGTAGTGAGGTCATAAATAAGGTTTCAAGGTCACAGGAGTGTACCGGCAGGCAGGAAGGTGGTTTGAAGTGTGTCTACTTCAATGTCAGGAGCATCCGGAATAAGGTGGGTGAACTTGCAGCATGGGTTGGTACCTGGGACTTCGATGTTGTGGCCATTTCGGAGACATGGATATAGCAGGGACAGAAATGGTTGTTGCAGGTTCCGGGGTTTAGATGTTTCAGTAAGATCAGGGAAGGTGGTAAAAGAGGGGGAGGTGTGGCATTGTTAGTCAAGGACAGTATTACGGTGGCAGAAAGGACATTTGATGACAACTCGTCTACTGAGGTAGTATGGGCTGAGGTTAGAACCAGGAAAGGAGAGGTCACCCTGTTGGGAGTTTTCTATAGGCCTCCAAAAAGTTCCAGAGATGTAGAGGAAAGGATTGCAAAGATGATTCTGGATAGGAGCGAAAGTAACAGGGTAGTTGTTACGGGGGACTTTAACTTTCCAAATATTGACTGCAAAACGCTATAGTTCGAGTACTTCAGATGGGTCAGTTTTTGTCCAATGTGTGCAGGAGGGTTTCCTGACACAGTATGTAGATAGGCCAACAAGAGGCGAGGCCACATTGGATTTGGTACTGGGTAATGAACCAGGCCGGGTGTTAGATTTGGAGGTAGGTGAGCACTTTGGTGATAGTGACCACAATTCGGTTACGTTTACTTTAGCGATGGAAAGGGATCGGTATATAACGCAGGGCAAGAGTTATAGCTGGGGGAAAGGCAATTATGAGGCGATGAGGCAAGATTTAGGATGCATAGGATGGAGAAGGAAACTGCAGGGGCTGGGCGCAATTGAAATGTGGAGCTTGTTCAAGGAACAGCTACTGCGTGTCCTTGAGAAGTATGTACCTGTCAGGCAGGGAGGAAGTGGTCGAGCGAGGGAACCGTGGTTTACTAAAGAAGTTGAATCTCTTGTCAAGAGGAAGAAGGAGGCTTATGTAGAGATGAGGCGTGAAGGCTCAGTTAGGGCACTTGAGAGTTACAAGTTAGCCAGGAAGGACCTAAAGAGAGAGCTAAGAAGAGCCAGGAGGGGACATGAGAAGTCTTTAGCAGGTAGGATCAAGGAAAACCCTAAAGCTTTCTATAGGTATGTCAGGAATAAAAGAATGACCAGAGTAAGATTGGGGCCGGTCAAGGACAGTAGTGGGAAGTTGTGCGTGGAGTCCGAAGAGATAGGAGAGGTGCTAAATGAATATTTTTCGTCAGTATTCACACAGGAAAAAGACAATGTAGTCGAGGAGAATACTGAGATACAGTCTATTAGACTAGATGGGATTGAGGTTCATAAGGAGGAGGTGTTCGCAATTCTGGAAGGTGTGAAAATAGATAAGTCCCCTGGGCCGGATGGGATTTATCCTAGGATTCTCTGGGAAGCTGGAGAGGAGATTGCAGAGCCTTTGGCTTTGATCTTTATGTCGTCATTGTCTTCAGGAATAGTGCCAGAAGACTGGAGACGAGCAAATGTTGTCCCCTTGTTCAAGAAGGGGAGTAAAGACAACCCTGGTAATTATAGACCAGTGAACCTTACTTCGGTTGTGGGTAAAGTGTTGGAAAGGATTATAAGAGATAGGATTTATAATCATGTAGAAAGGAATAATTTGATTAGGGATAGTCAACACGGTTTTGTGAAGGGTCGGTCGTGCCTCACAAACCTTATTGAGTTCTTCGAGAAGGTGACCAAACAGGTGGATGAGGGTAAAGCGGTTGATGTGGTGTATTTCGATTTCAGTAAAGCGTTTGATAAGGTTTCCCATGGTAGGCTATTGCAGAAAATATGGAGGCATGGGATTGAGGGTGATTTAGCGGTTTGTATCAGAAATTGGCTAGCTGTAAGAAGACAGAGGGTGGTGGTTGATGGGAAATGTTCATCCTGGAGTTCAGTTACTAGTGGTGTACCGCAAGGATCTGTTTTGGGGCCACTGCTGTTTGTCATTTTTATAAATGACCTGGATGAGGGCGTAGAAGGATGGGTTAGTAAATTTGCGGATGACACCAAAGTTGGTGGAGTTGTGGATAGTGCGGAAGGATGTTGCAGGTTACAGAGGGACATAGATAAGCTGCAGAGCTGGGCTGAGAGGTGGCAAATGGAGTTTAATGCGGAAAAGTGTGAGGTGATTCACTTTGGAAAGAGTAACAGGAATACAGAGTACTGGGCTAATGGTAAGATTCTTGGTAGTGTGGATGAGCAGAAAGATCTCGGTGTCCATGTGCATAGATCACTGAAAGTTGCCACCCAGGTTGATAGCGTTGTTGAGAAGGCGTACAGTATGTTAGGTTTTATTGGTAGAGGGATTGAGTTTCGGAGCAATGAGGTCATGTTGCAGCTGTACAAAACTCTGGTGCGGCCGCACTTGGAGTATTGCGTACAGTTCTGGTCACCGCATTATAGGAAGGATGTGGAAGCATTGGAAAGGGTGCAGAGGAGATTTACCAGGATGTTGCCTGGTATGGAGGGAAGGTCTTATGAGGAAAGGCTGAGGGTCTTGAGGCTGTTTTCGTTAGAGAGAAGAAGGTTAAGGGGTGACTTGATAGAGACATACAAGATGATCAGAGGATTAGATAGGGTGGACAGTGGGAGCCTTTTTCCTCGGATGGTGATGGCTAGCACGAGGGGACATAGCTTTAAATTGAGGGGTGATAGATATAGGACAGATGTCAGAGGTAGGTTCTTTACTCAGAGAGTAGTAAGGGCGTGGAATGCCCTGCCTGCAAAAATAGTAGACTCGCCCACTTTAAGGGCATTTAAGTGGTCATTGGATAAACATATGGATGATAATGGAATAGTTTAGGTTAGATGGGCTTCAGATTGGTTTCACGGGTCGGCGCAACATCGAGGGCCGAAGGGCCTGTACTGCGCTGTAATGTTCTATGTTCTATGTTCTAAGCCTTTAAAAACCAACAGAGGATAACCAAAAAAGCAATAAGGATGGAGAAGATGAAAAATGAGCATAAGTCAGCTAGTAATATAAAAGGAGATTGCAAGAATCTTTAAAGATATATAAAGGTAAGACAGAGGCAAGACTGGACATTGGACTGCTGGAAAATGAGGCTAGAAAAGTAGAACTGGGGAACAAAGAAACGGTGGAGGAACTGAATAGGTACTTTGTATCAGTCTTCATGGTGGAAGACACCAGCAGCAGATCAGAACTTCAGGTCAGTCAGGGGACAGAGGTGGGTCTAATGGCCATCACTCAGGAGAAGGTGCTGGGGAAGCTGAAAGGTCTGAAGGTGAATAAATCAGCCAGTCTAGATGGACCATACCTTAGAGTTCTAAAGGTGATAGCTGAGGAGATTGTAGACGCACTGGTGGTGATCTTTCAACAATCACTGGGGTCAGGGAGGGTCTCAAAGAATGGAAGATGACTAATGTCACACTCCTGTTTAAGAACAAAAGGAGGCACAAGGCAGGAAACTATAGGCTGGTTAGCCTGACCTCGGTCATTGGTATGGTTTGAGAATGCATTATTCAGGATGAGACTGCGGAGAACTTGAAACTGCAGGCTAAAATAGGGCGGAGTCAGCTGCCTTCATCACAGGAGGTCATGCCTGACAAATCTGTTTGAATTTTTTGAGAAGGTAACGAGCAAGTTACACAGAGGAGAGCCAGTGGGAGTGATCTATTTGGATTTCCGGGCCTTTGACAAAGTGCCACACAGGAGACTGCTAAATAAGATAAGAGCCAATGGTGTTAGGGGCAAGGTATTGATTGGCTGTAGGCATAGAATTGGGGATCTTTTTCGAGATAGCAGCCAGTGACTATTGGAGTTCTGCAGGGGTCAGTGTTGAGACCACAACTATTCACGTTATACATTAACAATATGGACGAAAGAAGTGAGGGCATTGTTGTTAAGTCTGCAGATGACACAAAGATAAGTGAAGGGACAGGTTGTGTTGAGGAAGCAGGGAGGCTGCAAAAGGACTTGGATAGGCTAGGAGTGTGGGCAAAGAAACGGCAAATGGAATACAACATGGGAAAGTGTGAGGCTATGCAATTTTGTAGGAAGAATAGAGGCGTAGATTATTTTCTAAATGGGGAAGGCTTTGGAAATCTGAAGGGCAAAGAGACTTCGAAGTCCAAATTCAGGATTCTCTTAAGGTAAACATGCAGGTTCAGTTAGCATTTAGGAAGGCAAATGTAATGTTAGCATTCATTTCAAGAGGGCTAGAATACAATAGCAGGGATGTACTGCTGAGGCTGTATAAGGCTCTGGTCAGCCCACATTTGGAATATTGTAAGCAGTTTTGGGACCTGTATTTAAGGACGGACGTGCTGGTATTGGAGGGGGCTCCAGAGGGGTTTACAAGAATGATCCCAGGGATGAAGGGCTTATCAAATGAGGAGCAGTTGAGGACTTTACATCTGTAATCCATAGAGTTTAGAAGGATGAGGGGGGAATCTCAATGAATCTTACAGAATAGAGAGAGGCCTGGAAAGAGTGGATGTGGGGATGTTTCCATTCGTAGGAGTGACTAGGCCACAAAGGGCACAGCCTCAGAGTGAAGGGACGACGCTTTAGAACTGAGACGGGAAGGAATTTCTTCAGCCAGAGGGTGGTGAATCTGTGGAACTCGTTGTGGAAGCCAAGTCATCGAGGGTATTGAAGAAAGAGATAGATTGGTGGCCTAGCAGTATTATCGTTAGACTATTATTCCAGAAACTCAAATGTTCTGGGGTCCCAGGTTTGAATCCCACCTTGGCAGATGGTGGAATTTGAATTCAATAAAAAGTATCTGGAAACAAGAATCTACTGATGACCATTAAACCATTGTTAATTGTCAAAATAAGCCATAACAGAAGGGGAACTGCCATCCTCATCTGGTCTGGCCTACATGAGACTCCAGACCCACAGCAATGTAGCTGACCGTCAACTACCCTCTGAAATGGCCCAATAAGCCACTCAGTTGTAACGACTGCTACAAAGTTTCAACAACTGGAAATATACCACTTTTCTTTCACTGTCGCTGGGTCAAAATCCTGGAATTCCCTCCCTAATGGCATTTTGTGTCAACCCACAGCAGCTAGATTGTAGCAGTTCAAGAAGGCACCACCTTCTCAAAAGCAAATAGGGTCAAGCAATAAATGCTGGCCAGCCAGCTGCACCTACATCCCACAAATGACTAAAAAAAAATAAGGAAATGGACAGAACACCTGGCATCAACCCAGATACTGGAAAAGACAACAGCAGAAACAGCCCTGTTGACCCTGCCAAGTCCTCCTGACTAACATCTGGGGACCAGTCCAAAATTGGTAGAGATGTCTCAAGCAACAGACTGAAACAGTCATGCTCACAGAATCATACCTTACAAGCGATGTTCCAAGTACCAGCATAACCATCCCTGGATATGTCCTGTCCCATTGACAGTATAGACCCAGCAGAGGTGGCAGCACAGTGGTATACAGTCAGGAGACAGTTGCCCTGGGAGGCCTCAACATTGACTCTGGACCCCATGAAGTCTCATGGTTTCAGGCTAAACATGGGCAAAGAAACCTCCTGCTGATTACCATACTTGTCCTCCCTCGCCTGATAAATCATTGCTCCTCTATCTACATTGACCAACATTTGGAGGAAGCACGGAGGGTGGCAAGGACACAAAATGTATTCTAGGTGGGGGATTTCAAAGTCCACCGTTAAGAATGGCTTGGCAGCTGCATTACTGATCAAGCTGGTCAGGTCCTAAAGGACGGGCAATAAGTGCTGGTCCAGCTTGTGACTCCCGTATCCCAGGAGTGAATTTTAAAAAATGGTCTTTAGGTTGAAGTGGGAGTTTAATCAGCAGGTGCAGAGATGCTTCTGCTTGAGGGGGAGACCAAAATTACGAGAACATCCTCTCTGCCCACAATATCCCAGATATCAAACAACCTTCAGTGCAATAGTCTTCAGCTGGTTAGGTTCTTACCTATTATGTTCCCCAGGGCCCAAACTGCTTGCTCACAGACATTTTGATGTGGTGAGTGCAACAACCTCAGGAAATAAGGCACAGCATCTGTAATAGAACATTGATGCTCAGTCATTACAATGTCTAGGCAGTGTACTTACTTCAATTACTTTTGTCTCCATTAGTGAAACAATGACAGCAAGTGAGTCATTTCCTGCAAGGTGCTCACAAACCAAGGTAGTTCAGATATCACTGAATATAAAACTGAAAAATCTCTAGTGTAAATAAGCTAGACATCACTGAAAGATCTTATGCATTTATAGACAAAGTTACAGACAAAAAAATTGTAAACTTATTAGAAACTGGATTCATTAATTTCAGTTGGTCTTGCGACAGCTTTCTTCAGCGCACATCTCCCAGTGAAACTGGTAACCCCTATAGAACACTTCAGCTCAACATGGAAATAGTTGAATCTCATTAATCAATTGCGCCCGGCACTGAAACATTTAAACACTGACATTTCCCAAGAGCCAAACATCTTTCCTTTTGAAATCATGCAGTATATTCCAACCCCTGGATCTTCAATAATCATTGCTGATACAACAAATTTCCAGAGCTCTAAGAGGCTTATTCTAGGATAACGTTCCAGCTATAACCTCATTTTACAAATCAGTTTTCCTTTCTTGATCTGCAATTAGAACAAACTCCAAACTCTTCAGATCGATTGGCCTTCTGTTCCTGTACTCCATGCTGAAATTTCCAGTCAATATTTTTCACACAAGTGGGATGGTGAGACCATACTCAAACAGCAAAGTCCAAACAAATTTCTGAAACAATGACTGCCCTATAACAGCAGATGATATACAGTTCGTTTGATCACTTACTAGCTTTGACTACAGCCTGTGTTTGTGCTGATGTTCCTGATGCTATGTTGGTCAATGCCCATGCTGCTTCAAACTGGAGTGAAGGGCTGCACAAATGGGAGCAATGAAGAATTGCATGGGTTAATACAAATAACCTTGTGTTAAATATTTCTCAGTGAGAATTTGTGTTACAATTCTAAGTTAACCAGGCTAGACTTGGTTCAGCAGTACCTTCAAGACAGAATGTTGTGGATTCAGTCACTATACCACCACATAATCTGCACAGCCACTACAGTACTGAGGACATGCTGCATTATCAGACTGTCAATACTGAGGAAGTGCTATACTGTCGGAGGGTCAGTAATAATGGAACGCTGCACTGTCAGAGGGTCAGTACAGAGGGAGTGCTGCACTGTCAGAGAGTCAGTACTGAGGGAGTGCTGCACTGTCAAAGGGTCAGTACAGATAGAATGTTGCACTGTCAAAGGGTCAATAGTGATGGATGGCTGCACTGTCAGAAGGGTAGCACAGAGGGCATGCTATACTGTCAGAGGGCCAATATTGAGAAAGTGCGTATTGGGCCGGTACAAAGGGAGCAGTCCACTGCTGCAGCACCGATGATGAGGCACACTGCTGTATCAGAAGATCAATATGCTGAGGGGGCACTGCACTGTCAGAGGGTCAATACTGAGAGAACACTATACTATTGGTGTGTCAGTACTGAGGGAGCACTGCATGATTAGAAGGTCAGTACTGATGGAGCACAGCACTGTTGGAGGGTCAGTACTCAGGGAGTGCCGCACTGTCTGAGGGTTAGCACTGAGGGAGTGCCACATTGTTAGAGGATCAGAAGTAAGTGAATGCTGCATTGTCAAACAATTATGTGCTCATATCCAAACAGCTGGCTGCATTAAGAAAATAGTCAGCACCTGGGGAAGACATTTACCCAAAGTATGCTTGAAACTGAGGGAACCTCAGGAAAAGAAATAATTTTCCAAGTAACAAAAGGTTGTTCTCCACACATGGAAAACTCCAGGCACATTTTCATAGGTGTTCATAGGTACATCATTTTGTAAAAGTTGCTAAAATGGCAGCAAACACAGGGGTAATAGAGGGATAAGAAGGGATATCATATTGCAGGAGAGCTGACACTGATACTTTAAGAACACATAAAACTCAGTCAAATTATCACACAAGCACAATACATACTTCTCGTCTCTTTCAAGACATTGCACAAGGATCGGCAAGATTCCAGAGTTGATTAAGTCATCAATGGGTGGGTTCCTGTCACTTGACAGAAGTTTTCTGCAAAAAGAAATTGGGCAAACATATGTTACACTTTGAACATTACGATGAACTAAATTAGGTAAGAATTAAAACAGAACTTCTGCATAACTTTCATTTACTGAACAATATTTCAATTTCTAGCAGTTCACTTCTTTGATCGATACATGACAACCGGCTCTTGTTTCTGACAGACTGTCCTGTTTGAGAAAAAATTTACAGACCTCAATAACATGACACATGAAAAAAATCAGTTTTGCAATTAAACATATATATTTAACTTTTTAATATTAGTTCATTTGGAACTTGTGCAGGTGTTGAAAAAATTCTGTGAAGATGAAGATCTGAGCTCCTAGATACTGATCACTGACCAGAAACTCAACTGGACTAGCTAGATAAATACAGTGGATTTAAGAACAGGTGAGAAGCTGGGAATACTGTGGCGAGTAACTCACCTCCCGACTCCTCAAAGCCTGTCCGCAATCTCCAAGGCACAAGTCAGGAGGGGGAATGATGGAATACTCCCCACTTGCCTGGATGGTGCAGCTCCAGCAACACTCAAGAAGCTTGACACCATCCAGGACAAAGCAGTCTGCTTGACTGGCATCACATGCACCACCTTCAGCATTTACTCCCTTCACTACCACCATACAGAGGCAGCAGTACATGTCATATACTAGACGCACAGCAGAAATTCACTAACTCTTCTTTGATGGCAACTTCTACACCCATAATCACTTTCATCCGTGAAGGACGAGGCCAGCAAAGATATGGGAACACTACCATCTGCAAGGTCCTCTCCAAGCCACTTAGTACCCTGATGTGGAAACATATTGTAGTTCCTTCAGTGGATTTACCTACAGCACATGGACTGCAGCAGTTCAAAGTCATGGCTTTCAGAATGGATAATAAATGCAGTGCTCACATCTTCACTGTGTCTATAGTAAACTTGGCGGAAGGAGCTCTCCACTTTGTCAGTCTCTGGCCATGTGTTTATCCTCAGACTGGACAATGTGACAGCCACAGGCCTTGCTAGCAATACTCAGCCTGCATAAACACATAATAACAAAAATTACTCTACAGAAGGACCCCCTCTACTGTCTTTACCTGATTCATGACCAAAGCTCTCAAGATAGAAACATTCATCTTATTTAAAGCCACATTTTGTTGTTTGTAATATATAAAAATGATCTGGAGGAAAATGTAGGTGGTCTGATTAGCAAGTTTGCGGATGACACCAAAATTGGTGGAGTCGCAGATAGTGAGGAGGATTGTCAAAAGATACAGTGGGATACAGATAGTTTGTAGATCTGGGCAGAGGGGCGGCACAGTGGCTCAGTGGTTAGCACTGCTGCCTCACAGCGCCAGGGACCCAGGTTCGATTCCACCCTCGGGCGACTGTCTGTATGGAGTTTGCACATTCTCCCTGTGTCTGCGTGGGTTTCCTCCCACAGTCCAAAGATGTGCAGGGTAGGTGGATTGGCCATGCTAGATTGCCCATAGTATTCAGGAATGTGTAGGTTATAGGGTGATGGGTCTGGGTGGAATGCTCTGAGGGTTGGTGTGGACTTGTTGGGCCGTAGGGCCTGTTTCCACACTGTAGGGATTCTATGATGTCAGTGCTCCTAAGTGTCCTGCCATTTATTGTACAAATCGTACTTGAATTTGATCTCCAAAATGCACCACCCCTCATTTGTCCAAATGAAACTCTATCTGCCATTTCTTAGAATCCCTACAGTGTGGAAACAGGCACTTCAGCCCAACAAGTCCATACTGACCCTTGGAGCATCCCACCCAGACCCAGACCCCTATAACCCACCTAATCTACACATCCCTGAACATTATGGGCAATTTAGCACGGCCAATCCACCTAACCTGCACATCTTTGGATTGTGGGAGGAAACCCACGCAGACACAAGGAGAATATGCAAACTCCACACACAAAGTTGCCCGAGGCCGGAATCGAACCCGGGTCCCTGGTGCTGTGAGGCAGCAGTGCTAACCACTGAGCCACCATGCCGACATACAAAGGGATCTGGGCATACAAGGTTCAAGGATCCCCGAAAGTGGCAACACGGGTGGATAAGGTGGTCAAGAAGGCATACAGCAACGCTTGCCTTCATCAGCCAGGGCATCAAATATAAAAGTTGGCAAGTTAGTTATAGCTGTACAAAACTTTAGTTAGGCCACATTTGGAATATTGTGTGTAGTTCTGGTTGCCCCACTACCAGAAGGACGTGGATGCTTTGGAGAGGGTGCAGAGAAGGTTTACCAGGATGTTGCCTGGTCTGGAGGGTTTTAGTTATGAGGAGAGGTTGGATAAACCCTGGTTGTTTATACCAGAAACACGGAGGCTTGATAGAGACCTGATAGAGATTTACAAAACATACATAGCAAGGATATTCGGAGGTTTCTTCCCCGGGGTGGAAAGGGCAACCACTACAGAGCACAGTTTCGAGGTGAGAAGAGGAAAGTTTAGGGAAGTGTCAGGAAAACGTTTCACACAGTGCCTGGAATGCACTGCCAGTGGAGGTGGTGAAAGCAGGCACGTTAGCAACGTTTAAGGTGTATCTTGATAGACACATGAACAAGGGGCAAACAAAGGGATAGAAACTGCGTACAGGAAATAAGTAGTGGGTCTAAATAAGGATTAAGAATCAGCGCAGGTTTGGTGGGCTGAAGGGCCTATTCCTTGCTGTACTGTTCTTTGTACTTGGACAGATTATTGACAAGGTGTAATCGACAGAGTTACAGAGCAAGATCTATTAAATGGAATTAAGCTAGAAAACTCTTCTCAGCTGACGTGGACAGGAAAGGCTGAATGGTGTATTTCTATGCTATAAATTTTCTGTTTCTAAGTTATAAGGTCAATTTCAAGCAAAATTTAGTTTCTCAGAGATATGACTCTGAATAAAAAAAAGTAATCAAATAACCAGAAGAGAGAATCAATCCAAAGTGAAATGAGATGTGTGCATTCTATATTGTACTTGGTGAGGAATAGAATCATAGAATTCTACAGAACAAAATGAGGGTATTTGACCCATCATGTCTGAACTGGCTCCCAAAAGAGCTACCCAGCTGGTCCCACTCTCCAGCCATTGGACGTGGTATTAAACGATTTCTGAAAGTCCAAATTAAAAACATCCATAGCAGTACCCTCTTCCACTGCCTGTGTCACCTCCCCAAAGAATTCAATTAAGTTTGTCAGACATGACCTGCCCTTGACAAAGCCACATTGACTGTCTAGTATAAACTTAATCTTCTCTAAGTGTATGTTTACCTTCTTCTGTATTATGGCCTCCATCAGTTTTCCCACTACTGGTGTGAAGCTGACAGGAATTAACTTGGCAAATGGCATTGGATGTAAACATTGAGAATGTCATGTTGGTTGACACTTTCTCATCAATTCCACACAACCTCACTCACAATTCCAAAGAAGGGTCACTGGACCCAAAACATCAACTCTGCTTTCTCTCCAAAGATGATGGCAGACCTGCTGAGTTTTTTCCTGCAATTTCTGATTTTGTCCCATTCGTTATGCTGTCTTTTTTGCAACTTTAATTGTTACATTTCCCAGAAGGAACAGATTTAAAGGGGTGAATGGTCTACTCCTGCTCCTAAGGATTATGGAAGTTCAAATCTTGCTTTCGTATCCGCATCTTGTACTCATTCTTTATATGGAACAATCCCATGTCTCATGTTACATTTAATTTTGATCTGTGATCTGTAGTGAGTGCCAGCCTTGAAGAAAGCTGTCAGTGAAAATTCGGGTGGCTTTCTGTTTTCCCAATACCAATTTAAAATGGTAACCAAGCAGAAGCAAGCAGCCAATCAAAATGAGGTATTCACACAGCAAGACAAAGAAATGTAAAAGCCCCTACTAGCTTCACTTTTAATTCAGCTGATCAGATAGGGCAACAACTAATTATGGAACAATAATGATGCATGCTGAAATATCAATATAAGCCTTTTCAAAAGTGTGGACTTTTTTTTAATCATAATAGAGAAATTTGACATTCAACAAATATGAAACTCGTTTTCCAATATTAAAGAAGGGGTGTTTATTAGTGCTTATAAGTTGGTATACTGTTAAATATAGGCCATTTAGGCCCTGTTCCATTATTCAATGAGATCGTGGCTGAGCTGTAGCTTAACTCTAGATAACTGCCTTTGGCTGATAATCCTTCGTTTAACAAAAAAATTAGTGGTCTCAGATTTAAAATTACAATGATCTAGCATAACTGCCCTCTGTGGAAGAATGCTCCAAATCTCTAGCACCCTTTGTCCTTTCTAACGTCTCTCCCAAACAGTCTAGTCCTAATTTTTGTACTATGGCCCCTCGTTATCGAAGCTCCAATCAGTGGAAATAGTTTATCTTTATCTACCCTGTAGATACTAAAATATAGTTACACTTCTTTCAGCAAAGTGCAACTCTGTGAAAGGCATTTACAGTGAGATAGAAATGGAAATTTTTGTCAATTAATTGATTGGTTCGCAATTGCGGTGAGGTGTGTCTTAGAGGAAGAGATCTCAACACATTCTCTAGGGAATCACCAACAGCAAGTTTTGAAGTTCCACATTATTCTGCACATAGGTAGGTAGGCTTTTTGAAGATGCTGTCAATATAGCAATGACAATGAAAGCTTATAATTTCACTGTCATTACCACTGCAAAGTCTGGCCCTCAAATTTGAAAGTGTTATTAGGGTTGGAGGCACTTATTCTGTCTTCCTTTCTATTCAAGGGATTGTGTGAAAAGATTTCATCACACAAAGACTGTAGATCTCAATCTTCCGTTGTGGACATATTGCAGTAGGGGCAGAAATTGTGACATCATGACGGAAAATTGGTGTCAGTCTGAAAATGAAGTTTAAAAATATTTCCTGTAGCATGAGAGCTCATGTAACTGCAGTTACAGCAGTTATCTCTTCCCAAGAAGAACAGCAATGGTCACTGTGACATAGTGAGTAGCTGTCTCACACGCTCAGTGGCTGAAAAGAATTCAGACAAGTGACTGACACA